TACGGTTGATTCCAGTAGAGTTTGTCATTAGCATGTTGCTAAGCTAACAGTGTTATAGCACAAAACACATAACACATGCCTATGATGCTGTCTAGGCAAATTTTGAAACAGAATCTTTGTCTCTTTCAGAATGACCCAATCCTGGATATGATTATTATCTCAAAAGCAATGAAATTATACAAACACACTGCCATTTTGAAGTCACCGATTGATCAATGACTTCTGACAGAGTCCTATCATCTCCAGAGCCTCTCCATGTTCACTGTGGCTAGAATCCTTAATAAAGATGAAAACATTGTCTGTGACACCGCAGTTGACGGATCAAAGGTTCTGACCTGATTCTTCTGAGTCTGGACAGCTGCAAGTGATCGTTTTCATAGCTGCAGTTCGGATATTATCCTGCTAAGCCTTCAAAGGAATTTGAAGATGTAGACGATGATGATAGAGAGATTCAAATAACCCAATTTCTTTCCCCTTGTTCCCTGAGCTGATCTAAAATGTGCAAGAAAGTAGGAATCACAACTAAAATCAAAGCAGTTGTCTTACCTAACGTTGGCATCAGGAACTTGCAGAATAGGATACTTAATGATCTCATTACACATTGATAAAACTGCAGTGGACAGAGGCTAATTAACGGTAATTGCAAGACTGTTGCTATTAGTGATGTACTGAAATGACAATTCCTGCCTAAAACCTGCAATATAGGGCTGCGGATAAGGGGTATATTTTAGCCTCTCACTGCCTGTATAATGCATTGGGCAGACAGGTGAATGGTACAGTCACGCTCACTGTCTGTTTGAATTTCTCTATGCGCGTGTCTCAGCTGTAAACACTGTCTAATAACTAGACCCTGCACCTAGAAATGTCATAGCAACCCTAGCAGCCACATAGCAAAATTATAATAATAACTGCTCAGAACGCCTTAGTAGCCTCACAACAACACCCTGCAGCTAACAATACCTTAGCAACCTTACAGAACACCCAAGCAGCCACATAACAAAATGTTGACAACCACTCTGAACATCTTAGCAACTTTATAGCAACACCCTGACAATGGCTTAGCAAAAACCCATTATACCTTAGAAATTGAACAACACCATCCTTACACCAAAACACTCAGAACACCATAAGAATCTCATAGCGACAGTCATAACTACTCTAAACCAAATCACATCCTCGGCAGGATCTGTTGAAATTTTGATGAGAGATCAGACAACACTTGAAGTCACTTCTTTGCCGTATTAAAGACAGGTTAGCCCTTGGGATGTCCTGAATTTTATTGGATGCACAGAAAATCAATGGACAAATTCTAGTCGACGTAAAGTACTAGATGATGTGCAAAATGTGAAAATGTGTGATCAGTCAAGTCAGCTGTGAAAAAGCTATAAGAACCTAGAAATTATTGTGAAAATATATTGGTACAATATCTTTATTCCAAACCTAAGAACATTTTAAAACACAAAAGACTAAGTGCTCTCTTTTTTTTAGAATACTAAATTGCTAAATTTCATATTAGAGGTAAAATGATACTAATATCACTACAATATTCTAGAAAATGAAACAAGAATCTGCATAAAATGTGTATAAGTATTCTCATCTATCAATGCTAACAACCACTCAGAATATCTTAGCAACTGCACAGAAACATCCTAACAACCACTCAGAAAACACTCTGAAGCTAGCAATGCCTTAACAACCACCCAGAACTTCCTAGCAACCAAATACTAAAATGGTATCAAGCACTCAGAACATCTTAACAATCTTACAATAACACCCTGCTGCTAGCAATGCCTTAGCAACAACCCACAACTTCCTAGAAGCCACATAGCAAAATGCTAACGATCAACCGGAACACCTAAGCAACTGCAGAACAACATCCTAACAACCACTCAGAACATCTAACAATCTTATTGCAATACCCTGCAGCTAGCATTGCCTTAGCAATTACTCACACCTCCTTAGCAACCACATATCAAAATGCTAACAATCACACAGAACACCTTAACAACTGTGCATCAGTGCACTCACAACCACTCAGAAAACATAACAACTGCAAAGCAAGATCCTAACAACCACTCAGAACGTCTTAATCTCATAACAACACCCTACAGCTTGCAATGCCTTAGCAACCACCCAGACCTCCCTAGCAACCACTGATTTTTTTTTAATCACACAGAACACCTTAGAAACTATACAATGTGTTAACAGTCACTCAGAACATCTTAACAATCTAATAACAACACCCTGCTGCTAGCATTGCCTTAGCAACCACCCAGAACTCCCTAGCAACCACTCAGAACAACTTAGCGACTGCAAATAAATAAATACATAAATAAATAAAGTCAACAATGAAAAAGGTGGTGTTAAATTTTATTAAAGGGGTCATATGATGCTTTTTTAATCTCTTTGGTTTTGAGACTTTAGTCTTTGCAACTTCAGTGATCTTATCTATTCACGAACAGCTTGTAACACTCCAAAGAGAAAGGAAAACTTGAAATCGCATCATATGACCCCTTTAATCTTCATTGATTTGTATGCATGATTAGTCATTCAAACAGCTGTCCATTTCTTTCATGAAGACTGCGCCAATGTATCCTTAATGCATTCCATGAAACATCCAGACCACTGCAACACTCAATACAGCATCCCGAGGGCATTCAATATGTGTCTTTTTGGAAATGCTCTCAGGTGCATCTTCTCCTCTAGTGGACATAAGTTCAGTGAGCACATTTAATTTGAATCAAACGTAGCCCATTAAAGTCTTAATGTCAGTGGTTATGCACACACATACAAACATACTGTAGCTGAGGATAATGAAGTCGAAGCCTTTCCACATCATACAGCGTTGGGTTCGCAACCATATGAAAAAGTGTTTCCTTCGTCTCCCACAGGATAAGCGCTGTGCCACTTGGGCACCAAAGCAATAAGAGTGATAAACTCATACAGGATAATCAAATACGCAAATTAGTATCATTAATAAATGTCTCCACTCTTCAAATCCTGAGTGGACTGTAAATCACTTCATAAATAAAAATTAATGAACAAGCCGGGGTGGTTGGCAAATCTGGCATGCAAAGAGAAGATGACAAATACCTGAAGGTAGGTGTGGACGTAGGTGTTTCGTTTGGTTTAATTTCAAAATAGTCTGCAAAAATACTCGCACGAAGGAGAAGTGAAAAACGACTTGTGATGAAGTGAGAAATGTTGCTAATCTGAGCTCCACCGCACTGTCAGAAGAGATAAATTCCACCTCCCTGCTAAATTGGACAGTAAGCCCAATTAACAGAATTTGCTGAGTGCTGAAAAGTCTCTGAGGTTGTGTGAATCCAGAATCCATATCTGCTACAATATAAAGATAGTTACTTTTATAATTTGATAGTTTTCTATATGACATTTTGTATTTTTAATTCAAACTTCTTATTTGACATAGCAGGTTATAAGATTAGCCTTTACCAAGCATTTATCCTGTTGTGTTCCATGAATGAGACTCAATGTCCCTATCAGTAAAAGTACAGTAAAAGAACATTCATTATCCGCCTAAATTTGTGGCCATAAAGTAACCACAGCAAAACACCCTGCCAAACAGCTCTGAGCAATGTTGGTTTTGCCAACATACATTCTGAGCCAAAATCTATCATAAGTCTTTCCCTCTAGCACTTGAGGCACTTTACACTCAAAATCCTGTGCTTTTTAAAAATAATTACACAATACATTTAGCCAAAACATCACAACATGCTTAATCGCCCCTCCAATCTCACAGGAAAATGTAAGTATTTAATGAGGTAGCGATTTTGTATGAATTTGCACGATGTCGTATGGAGCCCTGCACATGACACCGGAAAAAAAAAAAAATAATGCATTCAAAAAAAAAAAAAACAACCATTAACACATGTTAGACTGCACCCCATGAACACAATCAAGCCTAGAAAAATACCACTGAACCCACCCCTTTAAGAAAATAAGGATGAAGTCGAAAAAGGAAAGTCCTTGAAAGATTACTTTTGAATAACTGACAAATAATTCTGATTCAAGCTGAATGACTCAAGCTGACAAATCATTCATAATAAAACTAGAAATTTGTATATTATATATTGCATGCGCAAATATGGTCAGTTTTCAGTTTTGTACAAATTGGTGTATATATCATTTGTTAATACGACAATACATTTGTTTTTGGTTTGATGAGTCTTTAAGGTAACCAAGCTCATTATTAAACAAAAATCAGTGCGATGACTCTGTGAGGTGAAGAACCGCTTTGGCTGTTTCAATTCATCCCAGATCCTACCAAACAGACGCGAGCACTGCGAACGACTGATTTTGTGAACCAGTTCCACCAATTCATTCAAAAATACAAGAGAACAATTTGTTTACAAATCAACCAGCCCTACAAGACTTCTCATACTTTTCTTAAGAAGTGTGAAACAATCATGAGGTTATTTTGTTGACATACCACAGGCTCCATTAAGCAACCCCAATTACTCATCATGTCAGGTTACACCTTACCATCTAATTTGTTCCCTAAAAGGTACAAGTCAAGTTCCAGTAATTATCTTCACTCACTAATGAGGGAGACATCTGGAATGAATCTTCTTTCCTTGGGGCACATCACACTTTGTTTTGCAAGACATTTGTGTGAAAAGTGTCCCAGAGGCACAACATCCCCACCATTAACAGACAATTGTGTTATTTACATATTCATTTATTTGAAAGGTGAACTTCTTGTTGGGGGAAACACTGCAAATTGATGGTTTGAAGCTGTCTCAAGCAATCAACTTTGTATTGCAGAGATGAATGAATAAAGCAACCCAAACATTTCTCACTGAATAAGACTTGTTTTTAAAAAATATAATCTGTAAACACTGATGAAACTGACAGGTTGTCATTAGTACAACCAAAATAAGTCTCTTAACAACTATTTTGTTTACTCATGCAGAGACTGCTTTGAGTTTTTCAGGACTTTATCTTCAAAGACTTCTTGTTTATTGTTTTGTCTGACTCACCTGCTTCTCTGGAAATCTGCATGAAGGCCTCTACTCCTTTCTCGCCGTAGCTTCCCTCCGAGGCCACCGTAGACACGTAGTTCCAACCCATCGATTTCACTATGTCCACCATGGCCTGCGCCTGGAAGGAGTCGGGAGGTACGACGCGAGAGAAGAAATCGTACCGGCGGTCATCGCTCAGCTCTGGAGCGGTGGAGGCGTAGCTGATCTGCGGAATCTGAAACCAGACGAAAATAAGGTGGTTAGATTGACTGTCGCTGCGGTTGCTAAACTGAGTTGGCCCGATTTTTATTTCCTTCATTTCTTGTAATGGAAAATGATGGAGTGTTTCCCACCGTGATTCCGTATTGAATGTCAATTACTCAAACTTTCATAGGCAATTGTATCTGCCACCTGTCTCTTTGACACTGTCATAATATGAATGCTGGTCTACTGTGGGTTTTTGCAGTGAAACTTATATCAAATGGACACTGAGACAAGGCTGCGCTGACTTTGGATCCCGCTCTACTGACGTAAGTGACACTTACTTAAATGAGCTAATGTAACACTACTGTCTTTTTTTTTGTTTTTCCTCAAATATAAATTTTATTGAATAGAATGTCATTTTTTCTTAAATGTATGGTTGTTGAGTGTCACTGTAATTTGTGTGTTCAATGTTGAGCTGGGTTAAAACGTTTGGTAGGAAACAAAGTTGGTAACAATTTTTCTTGAAGCCTTTATGTATAACACATATATTATAGAAATATTATGATTAAATTTGGTTACAACTATTTATGAAAAGATACATTATCAATATATTTTCAAAAGTAATTGTAAACAAAGTTAAATGTATCATAATATTTGCAGATTCCTTGTTACATCTAAAATGTTAAACTTTCTAAAGGTATAACAATTAATTAATAAATAAATAAATATATACATATATTATCATAAATTATATTATAATAAATATAGAGATAGAGAGAACATTCAATGCACTATAATGTGCATTATAACAAAGTTAATGCATTAAAAATACTTTTATAATGCATTATATATAAAGGCTAGTGTTACCAAAAAGTTTACTTAGCATTACACAATAAATTATTTTCACATACAATATAAAATATACAAATAATATTAAACACACAAACAAATAAATACATTGTAAACTCATTTAAACTAATTGATGCAAAAAAAAAAATAGACCTGAATCTCAATGTTAAGATAGACGTATTAAAAAATATATTCTTCTTGGCAACAATGTCTGATGAGAATGATGATTCTTCCAGTTAAAAAAAAAAAAAGCATTTAACAGCAATTACATTAATACTGAAACATATTGAATACATCACAATACTGTATCTATATGCATTTTTAGCAATGTCCCCCAGCCCTAATCCTCCATGACTATATGGTAAAACAAAACGACCAATCCGCTGCAGTTTGGCATATACATAATCAAAATTTGGTGTCTGGCAGATATCAGAAACTTCCACATCACCCACCAGCTGTGTCGGTGCAAGCCGCAGCACTACATTTATCATCTTGGACAAGCTGCATAATATACTCATTGTTTTTTAGTTATGTAATGAAACAGCGAGTGCTGCATTTAAGTCATTCACCTCAGAATAGGTCATGCTGAGAATATACACAAACACTAAAACGGTCACTTAACACCGTTTAGCATAAAATAGTACCGATTCTACTCCCATGTCCTCCTAATGTACAGTCAAGGATGACTTCAACTCTGAAATTTGACGAGTCAACCTCTCAGAAATGATGAACTATCTCCTGGAACAAAGCTTGTTATGAAGTTATGAAAATGTCCTTGGCTGAGGCATCAGACCCCAGATGATCAGATGATCACGGCCAACAACATTCAGGCTATTTTCCAGTGTGTTCAATAACCACTTGTTTTGAGTCAAATTGCAGTATTACAGGGGACCTGAATATGTAAATGTCTTCACACAATTTCAGATAAGCTAATCTGCAGCAGTCCTCACTAGCAAGCTATCAATATCCCACATTATCCACCAAAGCCCAGGCATGTTTTCTATTTTCTGACAAATGCTTTGTCACATCTTCTGCGTTAGAAGTCTTGCACTCAAATTCTGAGCAATACACAGTTATATTATCAAGGCATGCAAAAGCATGCTGTGCCCAGGCTTCATATGACATTTTTTTTCTCTGTTTAATCAATAAACACAGTAAAGTAACGTTGAAATGACCCTCAATAGGCTAGTGAACAAAAATAAAAAGTTATGTTAATTTAAAGTACATATCTGGGGGAAAACACATCAACATTACAAGGGGAAGTTGATGGGACACTTGGAGAAAAACAGATCCACTTTTTGCCCCCTGCAACTGGTGGGTGAACTGAAAAAATAAACTGTCCATGAATAATGATTACGGACCATGAAACGGTATTAAAAAGGTGACTTTGCGAATATTTGTTTAAATCATACGATAAGTTAGCTCCTAGTACACACAAACACCATCCTAAACACTCAACGCTCTAGCAGGCTTCTAAGAAATTCAACATATCTTTTGAAAACTTCAAAATAAGTTTGACTTAACTTGCGCTCAGGGCTTTTTTTTTTTTTTTTTCAATTATCTTCAAGCTTTTTCTCCATTTGACACAGGTCTGGGATCTTTGACCAAGTCAGGCCAGATTAATTCTTCTGAAAGTTTATTCCTTTCTCTGAAGAAGGCTTCCTGCTCGACAGCCAGCAAAGTTTAGCCAAACTTTTTTTTTTTCAATTAGCCTTTTGATCTCACTTGATTTAATGGCGAGCTAAGCTTTTCCATTAAATAATTTGTTAAGTAAGAACATATATAAGGGACAGAAACATGGGGATGGGTGTGAGAACTGTGTGCTTTTGAGAGAAAAACACCAGCGTATTTAGTGGTACATAAGCTGAATAAACAAAAGTAATGTTCATGTTGCACTGAGAACGGTAGTCTTGCATTGAAAGCCGTTTTGAACAGTGCAAAGAGTCCTAAAACTCTTTTGCAAGATGTCAGTTTCTTTGCTAATTATTTCTCCTGGCACACAACTATGTTGGCTCTTACAGCGTGAATGCAATTTTTGGAAATCTCAGAACATTTTGGAAAGAAAATGCAGAACAAAGCATATTTATGCACTGAATATAAAATTTTAATTTTGTTATTGCAATGAAGAAAGAAAATGCAGCAGGGAATGGACAAAGAGTTATGGGGAAAAGAGGGAGGAATGGAAGCTAATGTGATTAGGTTGGTTTAAACTTTTCTTGTCCCCGGCTCAAGGAGTCAGAGAGCTCATGCTAACTGCTAAGCTACAAACAGAATCAAACAACACAAACAGAGACCCAATAAATGTATAGTATCTAAAATCAATGATATTTACCACCAGTAATAAAGAAAATCTTTTTTTTTTACTTCCCCCTTAAAATATTTAAAAATCCTTGAAACAAGATCAATTTACTTTAGAAGCAACACTACATAAAATATTAAGACTTGTTTTCAGAGAATGTCTCTAATACAAGAACATTTGACAGTTTTTACCATGTTTAAAGTATAAACAAGTAAAAATCACAATTATTTTGAGTTGGAAGCCATGGAAAATGTAAAAGTTGTGGAAACCTAACCCTAACCCTAAGTCAGAATATGTGGGAAAAGTATTACTTTCTGTAAGCCATCCTGAGACACTACCCAATTTCATGAAATCAACATATATATATATATATATATATATACAGTAAATTTAACAGTACTACCATCACCAGCTGAAGCAATTACAGGTTGCCTCTTTCAACTCAAGTCAAGGTCCTGAAGCAAGAACTCGCCTTTCAAGCTTTCCAATTCAAATAATTTCTTCCAGAAAGAGTTTCTTCCACCCGCAGCAAGCTTTGACTATCCGCACCTTGAGGAGTCTGAAGGAACAGATCTCAAAGCCCCAAATCAGGGTATAACAGAGATCGGCTTGAGGTGAGACTTAGAGTTTCAAAAGCAACACCCCTTCTCATTCCTCCATCTTTCTTGT